AAGTGAGGCTGCTGGTGCCACGTGGGACCAGCCTGAGCTTATTTCCCTTTGCTGCCCTGACCATTTCACCATGTTTTAATAGCAGAGGACATTCTCTCCTCTTCAGGCCAGACTGTAAGTGCAAGGATTTATTTCAAAGCTTCAAACTTCATGCTTTCCCCATGAATCCTCCCTCGTGCCTTCACACCCGCTGAGGGATGAGATGAGATGGAAACACTGCAGAGCTGCTCCTCTCTTCCCTCCCTGCTCCTCCCTGAACTGATCCCTGCCAAAGCCAGCTTTGCCTGGTGCTCCCAGAGCAGTCCAGGGAGCCAGGGCCCGGCCTGATGCTACAGATGGGAAGGAGTTTCCACCAATATTCCCTCGCAGCCCTGGCCAGCTGGTTGTTTCAGCAGAAAGCCCACCAGTCTGTCTCACTGTCTCCCATCCTCTTAATTTAGATGTGTTTTTCCAAAGACACGACAACAGATGCTGTGTTATAGATGGTTAGTACTTTTCATTAAAATGGTTTTAATGACTTTATAAATTCTCCTGCAGGAGCCCCATCTGAATCGGGCATCCTTGGGATTTAGTCACTTAATGAGCTCGCAAGGCAGAGCCACGCTGCCACGCTTCGGTTCCCAGGAGGGACTTTCACAGGACCCCCCTTCCTCTCTGCAGGGCACTGAAACACAGCGGGAAAAGCATCATCAGCCAGCTTGCCCCAGGAGCACGCAGTGGCAAAACAAGGAATGAAAACTCCCTGCCCCACGAATCCATCCCTGAGCCGCTCCTCTGACAAGCAGATGAGGATTAAATCTTTTGTCGCAGCTGAACCAAAAGCTTTGAAAGTGAAACACAGGCTGCTCAGACTTCTTCTGCTAGGATGTTTCTATACAGGGCTTACAGGATCAGCTGCTTCAGTGAAACAATGACGGCCTTTTATGTCCGCTTGCCTCCAGAGTCCCTCGTGTATCGCCAGCCGGGGTTAGGCAGCCCTGGCCGAAGCCAGCGAGCTGCTGTGATTTCAGAATCACAGAGCAGTAGGGGTTGGAATGGACCTCTGGAGATCATCTAGTCCAACCCCCCTGCTAAAGCAGGTTCACCTAGGGCAGGTTGCACAGGACTGCATTATCCACTGCATCCCAACCCACCTCCGTGCCTCCCACCCTGCTGGAGCGGGTCAGTAGCACCCCAAGGGGTTCGGGCGGCCTCGGGCACAGGGAGATGGGGGGTTCTCTCTCAAGCACCGCTGAAAGTAACGGCCATCCCACGGGGACGGAGGCGTGGAACCGGGATCAGGCGAGACTACCCCGGCCACGCT